GGGGGTGCCGCGGCTGGGGCACAGACCCGGGCGGGCTGGACCCCCTTTCCTGAGCCACTGTGAGGAGCTGGGCTTCACAAAACCCGGAAGGAGACCCCACATCGTTGCCCGCGGGCTCGCAGATGCACGACAACGGTGTGCGTCAGGAGAAAAAAGGGCATTAACAGGAGTCCCTTGTGTGTCAACTATACTTCAATTAATAAACAAAAATCCAGAGCCCGCGTCCCTTTTCCTCAGTCCAGAGTGGCCGAGACAGCGAGGCGTGAGCAGAGCGTCAGGGAGCATCGTGGGGCGCATGTCTGGGACAAGGGGTGAGGGGCCACCACCCCTGCAGCCCGGGCCGGGGTGAGCAAGTGCCCCTCCGCGTCTGGGGGGCTTCAGGAAAGGGACGTGGCCCCACAGCTGTGCTTCTCTCAGAAGAGCCGGGAGGCTCTGAGCCTCTGTTGGGGGTGGCGCCGGCCACGGTGTGCAGACCAGGGGCCCACGCTTACGGGGTGCTGGACCGATTGTCGGGGGGCTCTGGCAGGCGCGGAGGCTCCTCGGGCTCCGGGGTGTGTGGCTGTGCCGTGGGGGACACGGACTCCCGCACGCCTGCAGAGACAGGAGGCTGCACTGAACCCGTAGGCCCGCCTCCCTGCAGACCCCACCCCCTCCAGGGGACCCCCCAGTACGGAACTGCGGCCACTGGGTGGCAGGTCCCCACACGGGCACGGCTGCTAGAGCATCACAGTGGGAGGAGGAGACACGGGAGTCCCCACGACCCCTCCTTGACCTCCAGGGCTTAAACGAAGTTGCCCCCCAGACCGCCGTGGGTGCAGACCCCAAAGAACAAAACACAGGGCTTCCAACCAAAACTCGTCTGTGAATGTGCCCAGCAGCCAAAACGTGGAGACGCCCCAGGTGTCCACCAGCACGAGTGGACAGGTAAGATCACTGGCCACAGTGGGTGGGCCGTGGGTGGCCTCGGGAACAGGGCGCTCAGTGAGAGAAGCCGGACACAAAAGGCCACTCGGGTGCAATTCCGTTGGCGTGAGCAGCCCACACCGTGGAGACGAACAGAAAAGAGGTCAGTGGCTGCTCGGTGGGGGGGGAGGGGGTGGTGAGGAATGTTCTGGAACTAGGTGAAGTGGCAGATGGGCAACACTGTGAACGGGGTAAATGCCACTGACCTGGATGCTCCGAGTGGTTAATGTGGTACATTTCACTCTAGCAGGAAAAGCCCAGAGACATCAGAGGTCGGTGGGCGAGGGGAGCGGGAGCGGGGGAGGGGCTGCCATGCTTAGGAAGGGGAGGCAGGGTCTGGCCGCTGTGCGGAGCAGACTGGGGTTGGGGCAGGAGACCGGAGCCACACGCGGGGCTGGGACCACTGCCTCTGGCCCAGGCCCATACCCGACGCGGGATGGGGCCTCCTTCTGCGCTGGTTCCTGATGTGTCCCCAGCAGAGCAGGTCCCTGAGCAGGGCTCTGGGTCCAGTCCTGGCTCTGTTGGCCACCACGGGCCATCCTGCCTCAGTTCTCCCACCTCTAAGTGGGGCCGGCCGGCCCTCGGTCATAGGTGTAAAGACCAGGTGCCGCCAGGCACACACGGGGTTCGCACAGGGCCAGGGGCACCAGCCATGCCCGCGGGCACCGCCTGAAGCTGTGGGCGCCAGCCTGGGATCTTGCCTGGGGCTCGGAGGCTCTGGGGCGAGCTCGTACAAGGGCTGCAGGCCCCACATCCAGGGACCCTGGCGACAGACCCCGTTTACTCATCCCACACGCGTGAGGGAGCAGCTAAGGCGTGCCACGCAGGGTCTACATGCTGAGCTCACAAAGACGAACAAGACGGAAAAACCCTCCTCCCGGGGGGTTCTGTGCGCTGGGGGTCCCCTGCCTTTCTGTCCCCATCCCTGGGGAGCCCGTGGCTGACTCTGAGGGGAGGACTCACCGTACAGCTGCCAGATCCGCACCCTGTCCTCATAGGGGAGCCTGTAATGCAGAGGGTCGCCGACCGGGCCCTGGTAGTAGGGCTGCATGATGGAGCTCGTGGCCGCCACGTGGCTCAGCCCGATGGCGTGCCCAAACTCGTGGACAGCCACCGCAAACAGGTCCATATCGTGGGCATCTGGGAACCACAGCGAGCAGTGGATCAGGGGAGGGACTTCCGGACCGGCCACAGGATGGAGCGAGCTCGTGCACAGGGGCGGGGGCACCCGTGGGGAGGGGGTGTGATGTGAGGGGTACCGACCCGGTTCCTGCCGAGGCCCTCCTGGGGTCTACAAGGGCTTCTCGGGCCTGAGTCCCACCATGGCAAAGGGCCCAGAGGCTCTGCGGGGTCGCTGCTGGTTCCTCAGGCTGGGACGGGCTCCACTCCCGGGGCTGGAGCATGGACTGAACCCACAGTGGCCCCCATCTGTGCCCTGCGCCCCTCGGCCCACCTGCAGCCTGGGGGCCTGTGCCTTCCCAGACCAGTGGGGCTCAGCGAGCAAGGGGGCGAAGGTGTGAAGGCCTGCAGAGGCCTTGCAAGCTTCCGCTGCCTCTTGGAAGCTGGGACCAGGGTGAGGACGAGCCCGGCTCAGCACGTTGAGGGGAGACACCTTGAGCCGTGTGAGCCCGCATCCCAGGCCCGTGAGCCCAAGATCCACGGGGCAGGTGCCCCTGCCGGAGACGGCGGGGTGAGGCTGGGCTCCACGGGCGGGACAGACGCACAGCGCTCGGGGCCACGGGGGCTCTTCACCCCGCAGGCCTGAAGCGGCCCCTAGAAGCCAGGGGGTCCCTGGGACTCAGCCTCAGCCCGACGCACCTGACGAGCGGAAGGCCCAGGACTCGTCGTCATCGAAGTGGGTGTCCCCCGCGGTGTGGTGGTCGCCGGGGAAGAAGGCATGGGCCACCGTGCCGCCGGGGCCGTCGAAGGGGTAGGCGTCGTCGTGGTCAGCCGTGGAGAAGTCGATCTGGATGTCCGCAGTGCTGCCCGCCACCTCGTGGAAGTTGAGGGGCGTGATGTCGCTCCAGACTTTGAGGGCATAGTGCATGAGCGCACGCACCGTGTCGCGGCCCAGGGGCGAGTCCCGCGGGAATGTGCGGACCCTAGGTGGTGGGGTCAGAGCCCGGGGTCTGCCCACCAGGCGCAGGCCCTGCCCCCACCCCAGCCCCCACCCGGGGGGCTCCCGGGCACATCCCTCCCCAGGGTTGCCCATCCAGGCCTTATTGGGAAACGGGATTTTGCGGATGTAGTTAGGATTTGAGATGAGGCCTCCCGGATGGGGTGAGATGTCCTCAGAGGACACAGCAGGGGACACGGGGACGGGGAGAGGGCCACGCAAGGGCGGCAGACGCGGGGACTGTGGCAGTGGGTCGGAGGCGGCCAGCAGCACCCAGAGCAGGGAGGTGGGGGACGGATTCCCCCCACCCGCCCGCCCCACGGAGCCTCAGAAGGAGCCAGCCCCGCGAGCCCTGGACCTCGGGAACTGAGGATACAGTCCCGGTCCCGCGAAGCTCGGCTCGGGGGCGCTTGTTTGGGCAGCCCCCAGGCACTGAGACCCAGAGAGGCAGGCAGGTGCAGCCCACCCACCTCCAGGACAAGCTCCTCCTGTTCCACGTGGTGGGAGCTGGAGCCTGGCGTCTCCTTCGTGCCGGGGCCGCAGCTGGGAGGTCAGGGAGGGAACACCGAGGGGTCTTCATCAGCGCCAGGGTGGCCTCGTCTGCAGGGGTGGCCGGGGGTCAGGTCCCCTGGGGCTGGCAGCAGTCTCAGGCCCTATTCCCCAGTCCCTGCCCCGGGGCTCCAGCGTGCCAGGCCTCACGGCCAGGGGGACGTCCACGGCCAGGCAGGGGTCATGCGAAGCATTTACTGACTTCGGCAGCACACACGCCTGACCAGCTCTGCTGGGACACGGATGTGTACCCCTCTTCCGGGGCCTGGGCACAGATGCGCTCCATCAGCCCACGGGAGGGTCTCTCCAAGCCTGGGATTTGTTGCCAATATGTAAAACCCGGGGTGCTCCCACAAACACCCCAGATTTCTGGCTTCCCGTGGAAAGCTGCAAGTTTGGGCCGCACAGATCTGCCACTTCCGGGGACAAGAATCAACTGGGACCATGTGGGCAGATCCCACCCCGACAGCGGGCCCCCTTGGCCCCCATGGCGCAAGTGCGTGAGACCCTGCTGGGCGGGGTGCAGATGGGTCTGGGCGCAGCTGGTGCACAGTCCCCCCACAACATGCCCGCATCTGGGGGTGGTGAGCGTGCTGACGGGATCCCATGTCCCCAGGGAGAGGGGGCCCAGCCCTAAGCCCACCCCCCACGGGCAGGCTGGAGAGGGCGAAGGGCCCCAAAGGGTGGCGGGGCGGGGTGGGGGTGCAGTTAGGGGAAACCCCATCTCCTGCCACCGCTGGAGGACTGACCCAGGATGCCGGTGGCCTCCAGCCCTCCGAACCGCTGCATGGCCACAATGGCCTTCGTCAACTCCTCCCGTATCTGCAGCTGCCCTGTTGTGGGGTCTGCAGGGGGCAGGTAGCCGAACTTGCTCAGCCACTCCTGAGAGCAGAGAGCAGAGTGAGGCGAGGAGGTGGCGGGCTCAGCCCCACAAGAAGAGCTGCCTGCCCTTGAGGTGAGGGGCAGGCCTCTTCTGCCCTGATCACCACCGGCCCCAGCCCCCATTAGCCCACAGGGCACCTCGGGCCCCCTGTTTATAGACAGATTCTGGACAACCGTCTTAATAAACTTGATGCCCCTCAGAAGGGGTGAGTTTAAGCAGCGCCCTTCTCCTGCGCCAGGACACGCCCAGGGCACACTTGAGAAGGTGAAAATATAAAAAGGTTATTACACGTGGCAAGTGCCAAATTCAGGCCCGGAGCCACCTTGGGAAGCAGCAACCTAGGACCTAAGGTCTGAAACCCACACTGAGAGGGCAGTAGTCTCAGACTCCGGTTTTAGGAATCCGCTCACGAGCTGCCGGGACTCTGAAGCCAGGCTGCCTGGGGGCAAATCCCACTGGGCCACCTCCTTGCCGGGCACCTGGGACAAGTCCCTCAAGCCCTCTGGGTGGTCTCCTTGCCTGTGGGTGTGAGGACATCGTGAGTTACAACACGGAAATGCTCATTGCCTGACGCAGGCGCTCGGTATACAAAGTGTACGTGGTGTTGTCAGGGGACAGGTCTGCCGAAAATGCCCTGGCACTGGGGTCCCGAGCCAAACAGGAAGCCGGAATGGCAGGTGACCCTTCCCCATGGGCACAGAGCCCCCTTCCCAAGTCCCAGCATCTTTACCCCCGTGGGGGGCCCGAGGAGAGAGGGAGGCGCTGATGCCATTCTTTGGGGGAGTCTCAGCTTCAACTACCAAATGGTGTCACGCCCACGTCCTGGCCGGTGTGACATGAAAGCCTTGGGCCGTGTGGACAGCGGTGGGCTCCCCAGTGGGGGAGGACCCGCAGGTGGGTGGGGGGCAAGGTTGCAGGAATTCCCTGAGACCCTCCCCTCCCAGGCCTGGCTCCAAGATAGGCAGCAACCTGCAGGCCTATTTGTTTTCTGGTGGACACTGAAGAAACTCTCGTTTATGCTGCCTGCAGGGTCCCCGGAAGCTTCTGAGTTTGTGGCCCCTGCCAGTAGGACCCCTGCCCAGAGGCTCTGCCCCCACAGGGGGCCCAGCAGGTGCTCAGTGGGAGAGTCCACCCTCCCGGAATTCTCAGGAGCTTCAACTGACCAGGAGGAGCCACCTCCATGATTTGCATACAATTTGCATACACCTGCAGAGAACCAGCTAGATTCCTCTCTTTCCAGGAAACATGGAGTCTTTCCTGGGGTTTCTCTGTTCCTTTAACCCCCACCCCTCAAACCCTTACTGGCCCAGAACCACCAGTCCTGACAGAAGACCCCCCGAGAGAGTGTGAGGACCTAGGACCCTCGGAGGTTGTCGGACAGGACTGGGTAGCAGTGGAAGTAACTTGGTCCTCGATGGACAGCAATCAGGAGACCCTTCCAAGTGGACACTCCTGATTAGAGGGGCCTGAGGAGTGACGCCCTGTGCTCAGATGAGGCGGGCATCGGCTGGGACAGGCCCACTTCCCCACCCCGGACTGTGCCCTCCTCAGAGTTAAGATCCTTGCTGTCCCTGGGCACCCCTCTTCCTTTGGGAGGACCTCCCTTCACATCACTTGGGACACGTTAAAGTGTATCTATCTCAGGCACCGAGAGGGGACATGTCCCGGCTAGTACCCGGCTAGGCCCTGGAGATGCTCAAGCACAAAACACGTACATTTGAGGCTACACATGTTTTGGGGAAAAGTTTTACAAAGTTTTGATGTTGCAGTTTGCTTTCTGAATGTCAACACACACACACACACACACACATTTCAAAGCCCTGTTGCTCAGCAGCACAAGGCTGCCTCCTCCAGGATGCCCTCAGGAGTCTCCTGACAAACAGGATGCCAGGAGTGGGAGCCACCCCCTCCTCACCAGGGAAGGGTCCATCCAAGCAGGTGCATCCCCCCACCCAGGCTGCTTCAGAAGGACCCCCGCCCCCGGCAGTCTGGCCTGCAGGCTGAGGTAACAGCTGGGTCTCTGCACTGAGCAGCCCCGTGCTCCACTCCTCACAGGGCTCTGTGGGGTTCACGGAGGAGCCCTGGCCCCCCAACCTGGCCCCCAACCCCCAGGGAAGCCCGGCCTGGAGACCCTCGCGTTCTGGGCTTTGGAGAAGCCAAGAGCACTCCTGGCGGTTTTGCAATGTTTGCCACACTGCAGAGCAGGCTTTAGCCTCGGGTCTGAGTGGCCGCGGGGGTTAGCCTGCAGAAGGGAGGGGCAGCTGAGTGCAGGCACGGCCCTGGGACCCGCACTGCAGCCCCCAAGGTCAGTGGCCACTCCCACCTGCCCAGACCCTGCCTGAGATAGGGCTGCATCTGCGGGGTTGGCCAGGGGGTCCCCACCCGCAGGCAAGGGCTGGGGGTGCAGGGGTCTGTGTCCTCAATCACACTTCCCACCTACCCCCAATGTGGACTCCTCCCAATGACATTAGCATCACAAAGGAGTCCCCTCTCAAGCCCCCGCTTCTCCTCCCCAGGGCCCCTGGAGGCCCCTGCAGTCCTGGGGGGTGCTTCTGGGTCCGTTCCTGGACAGCCCGGGGGGGTGGGAGCACCCCACCAGCTGGCCAGGGGAAAATCCTAAGGGGGGTCTGACAACAGGACAAGCCCTGGCGGGTGTGGGGGCTGCTGACGGCCGCTGGCTCTCCGGTGGCCTCGGGGTGGCACTGGGCCCACAAGCCCGTGGGGCCCCGCCCAGGCCTGTCTTCGGTGGAGGAACAAGTGCCTGGAACCCGAAGGCCCCATCCCCGCGGGGAAGGCACAGTGGCCGCCGGCAGAGGGAGGGAGGGGCCCTCGGGGAGGGGGCGGCTAAGAAGACAGTGCTCTCCCCACTTGCCAGCGCATCTCCATCTCGGGAGGACACCGGCAAATTCCCAAATGGCCCGGCTTCCTTTTTTTTCCCCGGGGCAGCACTACATTCTGAAGCTGCCGAGGAGACCAATGGGTGCGAGCGGCGGGGGCGCTAACCCGGGGACGCGGCAGGCGAGCGCCCCACCGCTCCTCCGGGCGGGGGCGGGGGCGGGGGGCGCAGCCCGGGCCAGACGCTGCCCCGCCTCCTCCTCGGGGGCGCCCGCCGCAGAAAGCCCGCCCCCCGGGGGTCCCCGCCCCCCAATCGCTACAGAGCCCCCGGGGCGCACACCCAGGCCGGCCCCTCCCTGCACGCCCATCCCGCCCTCCCTGCGCCGTCGTCATGGCGACCGCGTCTCCAGGGCAACCAGGCTGCAGCAGCGGAGGTGAACCTTCCAGAAGGCCGTGGGGAGGGGAGGGGAGGGGAGGAGAGAAGCAGGGGCGGCCCAACCCCGCAGCCGCCGCCCCGCCGAGGAGGATCCCCAACAGCCGAGGAGATGAGCTCTGCCTCCTTCCAGCGACCCCTGAGCTGGGCCATTACCGCAGAGGGGGAAGCTGAGGCCGGGACACGGGGCCCGGTGCCAGGCGCTGGCAGGACGCAGTGCAGCGCATCCGGCGGGCCTTTCCCGGCTCGCCCACGAGGCCTCAGGTCTTACCCTGTGTGCTCAACACAGTTTGTTACACCGCCCACAGGTCTAACTCCCCTCCCTACTCTTGAGAGTCACAGGGAAGCGCAGCCCCGGCCCCACGGCAGCCCCAGCAGGTGGGGGGCCCCAGCAGGTGGGCACCGGGAAACTGCAACCCCAGCCCGATGGAGGGATGGCACGGGGCTGCGCTGTTCTGTGCTTCACCAAGCTGGCAAACAACAAGTGCTTACTGTGTGCAGGGTCTCATGTGGTCCTCTAGGCTGCCCCACCACGTGGCCGCTGCCGTCCCCGCTGACAGGTGGCAAGTGGTGACCAGGAGACACACAATCGCCTGGAGCTGGCGGGGCCACCGTGTGCCCGGGACTGGCCCTGGCCTGGGTGTCTGCAGTTGTGCCAGGGACCGTGGCCATGGATGGCTGACCCGTGGGCCCTTCCCCTGCACGACCCACCTCCAGCTGGAACCCCAGCCTCGTGGGGGCGGCATGGAGAGCAGGTGTCTTTAGCATTAGCCCCTCTGCACAGATGAGGGAACCCAGGCTCAGAGGCTGCCGTGGGGCCGTGTGCAGACGGCCACCCCCCAGCCACGGCGACGTGGCTCGGGAGACGTGGAGCTGGCAGGCAGGGGCTTCAGAGCAGTCCTGAGGACCCGAACACTCACAGTGAGGAGAGCAGAGCCCGGCCGTACCCACGCGGTGCCGGCTCACTGCTCGCCCTGCGTGCCTTCACTCAGAGGGCAGGGTGACCACCACCTCCACTCACCGCCCAGGAGACTGAGGCCCCCAGACGTGTGACCGGAGTCAGTGGCGGGGCCGTGGTCTGGTGGCAGTCCCTGTCCAGCTTGCTCTGCCACGGGGGCCGCTGAAGACCCCGAAGGGAAATGAGCTGGGGCGTCCTCAGAGCAGGACCCCCGTGCTCGTCTTCCTCTGGGAGCTGACAGCGGGCGGCTGCCGGGGGCCCCAAGCCCCAGTGTTGGCCCCAGTGTCTTCCCCGGGGAGGGGGGAACGCCCCTAGATCCCCCCTGGACAGCCTGCTGTTCCCTGTCCATCCACCTGACACTCCCAGGCTGAGCGCTCGCTGTACCGGGCACCCTGGGGCAGCGGGGGCCTGGGAGAGCCTGCCCTGCACGCAGGGCTCCCGGTGCGGACAGCGTCCTGGGGAAGAACAGCAATGAGCACGTGAACACAGCAAGTGACACCAGACCGTGACTGGGTCACGCATGACTGTCGTTACCAGAAGTGACCCAACAGCCAACAGTTACCGAGCACTCTTCCGTTCGCTAACCCGCTTAATGCTCTCGGCACCCCCAGGGCAGAGCTACGTGAGGCCGGGGTGCCCGGTCTGTGGTGTTCAATCCGTGCTAGGCACACGGTAGACACCAAGTGAGCACCTGCTAAATTAATCCTATGAGGAGGGCACGATTATCCCCATTTTACAGATGGGGACACAGAGGCCTAGAGAGATTAGGACATGTACCCACAGTCACGTAGCCAGCATGGGGCAGGGCTGGGGAGCCTGGGGTGTCTGGCTTCAGAGCCTATTCCTGTAACCTCTGTGCTATGAGGAGACGTGAGTGACAGGGTGCAGGGACTAATTAAATGGTGGCCAGGGAAGATGTCCTTGGGGGGGGTGACAGTAGGTTGAGACCAGAAAGATGAGGAGCTGGTCAGGTGACAAGCCCTACGAAAGTTCATGGAGGTGGGCATGGCAGATGCAAAGGCCCTGGGGCAGGAAGCAGCCTGGCAAGTTCTATAGAGAAAGGAGTTCCATGGAGTACAGGAGGAAGGCATTCAGAAGCCAGCCACCTGTAAGGAGTGGGACCTGATTCTGTGAGAGTGGGGAAGCTGGGCTTCTGCCCTGTCCCTCCCGAGAGATGGACAATGCTCAGGAGACCCGACAGGCTCTCAGCTTATGTGGGGCAGATGCATCACCCTCCGTGAGCCAAGCACAGACCCTACACCCAGAGCATCTCACAAGAAACTCAGATCACCACCGACAGGCAAAAAGCACACACCCTTGGAAGGCACTGCGTCAGCTCCCCTGCCAAACCCCAAATCCTGTACAGCCTTCTCTCCATTCCTCCCTCCCCCTGGGAACACGCAGGCAGCTTACTCCCTGCCAGACACTTCAGAGGCCTCACCTGAACGTCCCAGCAGCCCTGTTTTACAAACGGGAGCCTGGGGCCCGCAGGCTGGGTCTGGACCCCCATCTGTGTCAAGGGCCCCTGTGAGAGCAAACACATCCTAAGCCCCCAGGCCAGCCGGTCCACACTCCCAGGGCTCAGACCACAGGCATCCAGCACAGCCCTGCCCACACCACACTGGCTCGCAGGACAAAAGCCCCACAGAGACTTCTTTCAGACCGGCCGGCAGCCCCAAAGGCAGTGGGTGCCCCAGCACAAGGACTGAGCGCTGACAGCATGCCTCAAGGTGGGGGCCTCAGGAGGGTTGGGGGGTGTCTTAGGTCCTTCACATTTAAATTCAACCTCCCACAGAGGTGCAGGGAGGGGACCCCAGCAGCCTTCCCTCTCCAAGGCTCAGGACAAAAGCACGCACGCCCAGGTTCACCATTCCCGCTCTCTCTGTCCTAGCAGAGGGCATGCAGTCTGGCCCTGGCCTGGGTGTCTGCAGCTTCGAGGTGCGAGGGACAGTCCTGACCCCAAGCCAGGTCTGTGACCTCAGACCCGAGGGCACGCAGGGCCCACAGGCTCCCCTGGGTGCTGGCACCGAGGAGCAGGGACCCAGAGGCCACTGGCTGAGGGTGACTGTCACCCTTGCTGCGACCTGCCCCTGGCCCAGGAGGGGGACGCGGGGCTCACGCTCGCTCCGAGTGAGGTCCTGGCTCGCACCCACCCTTGCCACCATCCGGCCTTGTCCTGCCCATCCCCACGGGGCCTCCTGGGTCTTTGGAGGGCCTTGCTCATTCCCGGCCATCCTCAGCCACACACCAGTCACCTCTCTGGGTGTCAAAGATCACACGATCGGCCAAGATGCCGCGTGGTTCGGGGCCACGAGCACTTTGTTGCTGGAAGCAGAAACCCGAGCAGAAACTCGAGGGGCCGAGCTGGCAGGTCTGCTAACACGCACCGCATCCCATTCACGCCCGCCACCAGGCCCCCCTGCTCCCGGGCCTGGGTCCCAGGTGCTCCTGGCCCTGCTGCTGGCTTAGCAAAATATTAGCAACAGGCCGCTCGTCCGTGCCCAGGGCTGGCTGGAGGATGTGACGTCCGTGCAAAGAAGTGAGCTGGGTGGGCACCAAGCACCAGGCAGACCCAGACGCTCCAGTATGGACCGTTCTCCAGGACAGGACTTCCAAGGGAAAACAGCAGGCCTCGTCCCCAGAGATAAGGGGCCCAGGTCCCCATGTCCTTTGGAGTGCCCAGACGACCTCCAGAGGGATTCTCAGGAAGCGAGGGGAGGGCAGGGAAGATGGAATTTCTCCCGCAGGCCCTTCCCTATGGCCTGAATAGCTTGCTACGGTTATTACCTACCCAGAAATAAAATGATGAAAAGCTCAGGGCTGAGCGGCGACAGCCCCAGGAGGGCACAGCGCACTCTTTTGTCTTGCTCCACACGGCCTGAAAGCCCACCGGCAGTTGGGCGCAGCAGGACTCAATCCAGCGCTTTGTCCTCTCACTAAAGCTGGGGGTGGGCTGGGCCAGGCCAGCCTCTCTGGGGATCAGCCAGAGCTCCAGACCCGCTGGGCTCAACTCTGGCAGAAGCTGGGTCACACTGACAAAGGGGCCCTTCTCCTCCCTGGCAGCCCCAGATCTGAATATGCAGAGTCAGTGGGCCCCAGAGGCGGGTGGCAGTCTACAGACGGGGTGGGAAGGAACCCCCTCCTCCCCATAAATCCTGTCTCCAAGACTTCCTGCACCTCTGGGTCTGGGGCTCTGAGGTGTCATTCCCCAGAAGGCCACCAGAGACCGCCCTCCGCCCACAAACGTGGGCAGGAGTCAGGAAGGCTTGGCCACACCAGGAGGGACCTCCTGGCCTTCCCTGGGTGGGGTCCTCTAGGGTCAGGGGCAGAACCCTTCGCTACTCCCCCACGGGGCCAGATGCCAGGGCTCTGCTGTCTCTGGGGCTCCAGGCTGAGGAGCCACATCCCCCCCACCCCCCAGTGCATCCCACAGAGTTGGGCCCATGACTGCCCGCCACCCGCCAGGAGGCTCTGGGGAGCCCGGGAAGGAGAAGAGGCAGTGCCCTGGCCCTCGCTGGGAGGAGTGTGCCCAGCCTGCTGTCTCTGGGCAGGCAGAGAAAAACTTGAGAACTGGGCCAGGTCTGACAAACGAACTGGGCCGGGACTAGCATCCCCTGACTGCACCTTAGGATCCTCCTTAGCCTCGGGAGCTGGGCCTCTCTGAGCGGGAGAGTGGACCCCGAAACCCGCTGCCCCCCAGATCATGTGCCCCAGGAGCGGGTCCAGGAAGCCCCCAGCTCCAAAGGAGCCCGGAGGGGGTGAACTGAGGCACCCCAATTTCAGGGGCAGTTCGGCTGGGAGGAAGCCCAGTGTGGGGCCCCTCAGGCGTCCGGATGCCATCAGCGGGGACCGTGGCTGCGCCCTCCCAGATGGCTTCGAGGGCTGGGCCAGCTGGGCGGGGGTGGTCCCAGCCTGCTTCTCAGCCAGAACCTGTGGCCGAGTCCTGCCAAGTCTGTGGAGCTGCGGATGCCTCCCAACTGCCCCCATCCGAGTACCTCCGCCTGCCTGAACTCCGCCTGCAGCCTCCAAGTGCCAAGGGCGCTGGGAGAGGGGTCCGGCCAGCACCGCTGCCGGCCGGGGGCCGTGTGCGGGGGTGGGGAGGCCGCGGCCCCCAGCCCGCATCCCCGCGTCTCGGGGAGTGAGGGCAGCGGCAGGGGCGGAAGCCCCAGAAGATCGTTCCAATCCAACGGCCCCTCGCGCCCTCGCCTGGCCTCTCGAACCTGGGGGTGGCGACCCATAAAGTCTGATCTCAACCCTCCAGGTCCAGAGGAGTCTGAATGGGGGAGAGGCGCGGGACGAGGCCATTGCCGCCGCTTCCAGGACGGTTCCCAAAACAGGGGGACAGCTGGTGTTACGGGAGGGGGCGCTGGGGACGGCGGTGGGGCTGCATCAGAGCCTGGGAATGGAAGGGGGACCCCATCCAGCTCAGACAGGGCCAAGCGGGAGGCAGAGCAAGGCTGGCCGCCCTGACGGCGGAAGGGGCCAGGGAATAGGGCCAAGATTCATGCCCAGAGGGGGGCAGGGAGCCGGTTCTCTTGCTCCCCAACACCCTACACGGAGCAAACTCGAGAGCCACCGGCTTTCCGGGGCGCCCACACTCCGCAGCCCCAATCTTTCCTGGGTGGTGGGGCGCGCCCCTCCCCCCCGCCACTCCCACTGGGAACGCACGCGGGGCGCACTGCCCCCGGCGGCTGCAACGGCTGTCCCACTCGCCTGGGGTCCCCCTTCGCGGCCGCTCCAAGCCGCGGACAAGGGCTCCGTCCAGGCAGCCCCAACCTCCGCTGCCGCCCGCGGCTGCCGCGCGCGGGGAGCGCGGAGCGCAAGGAGCCGGGAAGGCACGCGGCGCCTCTTTCCCAGGCCCGGGTGCGCGCACGTCAGCCGCTCAGCCTGCGCCCCGGCCTCAGCTTTCCGCCTAGGAAATGGGTCCAAGGCTCCCCGAGCTCCCGCAGGCGCCGAGCGGTGGGACGGCGTCCTCTCCGCCCGCGGGACCCCGTATGCCGGCCGCGCACTCACCACTCCCAAGCTGAGGTCCTCCGCGCGGGGTGCGGGCGCGCCCCAGCTCCCGCGGGCCGCCAGCGCGAGCAGCAGCAACGGCAGCTGCGGGAGCCGGGG